TGCGTGCGTACTGTGTGGCGTGTATACATATATGTACATATATAATATAATGTACATGTAATATATAATATATCAGTTTAATGTAGTAAAATGCATTTGATCAAACTAAACTAGATCACGATAGTATCCGTACCCGAAAACATACTTTAATTTCTTCAACTATGGACAACTTGTTTTTTCTTTTTCATTTTCCACAATGTACACGCGACGGTGTATTATTGTCGAATACTATTGAATATTTCTTTCTGTCAAGCATAATGATAGGATGAGGTAAATCTTGCTTGTCAACAGACATATTCGAACGTATTTAATGACCTGAATATTATATATCAATTTCAGTAGTTACTAATCTGTAGGAATAATTGCGTGTGTACATTTTTCATTTAGCTTAGTGCATGCATCGACGAAATTACAATTGCTTTACTTTGCTTAAGTTAATTTGCAGAGTAAAATCTTAGTGCATTATGAAGGACGAAAAGGTTCCATTCGCATGTGATAATCTACAAAATATTGAATTACATTGAAATATTTCATCTAGAAAATTGTCTTTCTTTGTAATAAAATAAATAAATTTTCTTAAGTATCCCATATCAGTGGTAAATACTTTATTTAAGATTTAATGGCAAGCAATAAATACTTTTCTTCGTTCACTAAAAAAGTCTTATTATTTTCTCCAGAAGTGATAAACGTTACGTAGCAATAAATAAGTTGGAAGTATTTAGATTAGTATGTGGATTCCTTTCAATGACAGGGAAAGCGAATTTATAATGTTCTTGGATCGTACGATACTTGGTAAGATTATTTTATTTTATTTGATATGCTGCAGTAAGTTGTGGTAATGTATTGTCTGTAAAAATCTTGAACGTATTTAAATGTACAGCATGGTTGCTTAAATAAATGTTAATGGAAAGATTTTGCACGCATCATATTTATTGTATAGTTACCGCTCAAGTAATCATTACCTTGTAGACCACGATATGATCAATTGGTGCAATGTTTTGATAAGAATGAATACCTGGATAAGATAAAGAATCAGCTGTTCAATTATTGTATATATATATACTATATTAAATATTATATTAAATATAAGCATTTAAATTTAATGGAATATCATTTGTATCGATTCGAAGAAGGTACAAAATACCGTATGCCAAAGTGTTGAAAGAATTAATATGATTATATTAATTTTTTGTTTTATATCGAACAACATTAATCATAATTGTCAGAATGCTGCAGTCGTACCTCCAATTGTATTCATGTAATATATAGGAACAGACAGTTATTTCTATGAAAGAATATTAACAATGCAATATTATATTCGTACGCAAACATATGAAAACAGTTTTATTATGTATCGTCTATGAACAGTTTATTTATGACTATATTTTATCGTCTTGATAATTAGGTGACTAATCGAGATGTTTCTTTCCTATTCACCTAGAAACATGGAAACATGGAAACATGGAAACATGGAAACATGGAAACATGGAAACATGGAAACATGAAAACATGAAAACATGAAAATAGGAACACATCAAAACATATGATAGTTTAGACATGATCGTTACACTGAATGTTTCTTATTACAGATTGTAATTACCAATTTGCAGCTTCCCGCGTTGCACTTGCTCACATTTGCTCAGCCGCGTGAAGATACTAAACACTGTCTGTCCTTATGAGTATCTTTTGAAGTACCGTGGAAGTAGTAATCTGTAAATTTTACTCAAAGGAGGATGCCAGTAACTAAACGTATTCCATGCCCCTCGCGGTAAGTAAGTGGTTTACGTATTACATACTATAGGCCAAAACCCAGAAAAATCTATATAGATAGATGGCTAGCGTTACGTATTATACATTTACAATATTCTGTTGAAAAAGTAGTAGATCGTACAGTGGAGATTATTTTATTTACTTTAACGTATCTATTTATCTTTTGTATAAATTGAAAAATAATTTACTACTTTTTATACTTTATTGTATAACGACTACATTTTATGGCTTACAAGAACCATGTTACTGACATCCACCTTTTTAGTTAAAATAAATAGGACAGTTTATTTAACCGAAGTTTTAAATATAATTTTATCCCGCGATACGTACAACGAATATACACCGGTATAGTGAATTTTTAAGATAAATAATTCTAAAGCAAAGAAATGCGAATCTAGATACTTCCATTAACTAGTGTAAAGAATAGATGGTTTTCTAAGCGTAGAGAGTAAATATTTAGACGAAAGAGATATAAAATAAGGCTAATTATGAAATTTGCGCGAAACCGTTATAAATGGTTGTATAGAAAATGTATCTTTACGTTTTTCAGATCTGACGGTGGTAGCAGTGAAAGCCCATTACTTGTGGAAGAAGGAGAAACAGTCGGTGCCCCTCATAGTCCACGAAGTAAACATAATCATAGCCATTCACATGCCAATCCCCATAGGTCGCACAGTTATCGCCATGAGAAACCGAAACAGTTAATAAAATACGGAGAATTAGTTATTTTAGGGTAAGAAATTGCTAGTGTACAGCTACCGAGTCCAAATAATTCGACGCATTTCGATAGAGACGTTAAGAAAGAAATCCAACTTGTTTAGATACAATGGATTTCTCCCTCCAGGAGATAGAGGAAGGCGAAGAAGTAAGTTTGTTCTGTTTAAGAGGCCTGTACCGAACGGCGTGAAACGCAGCAAACACTATATCGTAAAAACACCTCACAGTTCGCAAGCTATTCTTAACACGAAACAGCATTCAATATCATATACCTTATCCCGAACGCAAGCTGTTATCGTGGAATACACCGAAGATGAGGGAACCGATATGTTTCAGGTGTGCATAGAGGGTAGAATATAGATCTTCCGAACTGCTCGAAAATATACGGTATTTCTGTTCTCGTTTATTTCCGCATCGCAGGTCGGACGTTCCTCCGAATCTCCGATCGACTTCGTAGTTATGGACACGTGCGCGGGAGGCAACGATGGAACGAACGAGGGACGCGTTGCCCAGAGCACGATTAGCAGGTTTGCCTGTCGGATTTTAGCCGACCGAGCGGATTCGAGAATCGCGAGAATATATGCGGCAGGTTTCGATAGTTCGAGGAATATCTTCTTAGGGGTCAGTCGGCTTACATTAACAGCTCGCGGTGACCGTTTCCACTGCTGTCGTGACTGCTATTGTACGAATTGATGATCGCAGGAAAAAGCTACCAAGTGGCAAGAGAATCGCGAGATCGATGGACTGACGACGAACGGCGTACTGATAATGCACCCGCGGGGTCAGTTTTGCGGCGGGGAGGCTCAGTGCGGTTTCTGGAGGGAAGTGAGCGTGGGCGGCGGAGTTTTCTCGTTAAGGGAGAGTCGAAGCGCCCAGCAGAAGGGGAACGTCGTGGAAGACGAGAACAACATTTTACAAGATGGGACGCTGATCGACCTCTGCGGTGCTACGTTGCTCTGGAGATCGGCCGAAGGGCTCGCAAAGTCTCCGGTAAATCCTCAAACTGTACAGCTTTTTCCCCTCGAAGGTGTTGTCTGCCGACGATCTTATTGTGCACGATTCTTCTAGACGAAGCACGACTTGGAGGAGTTAGTCGACGCCATAAACGCCGGGAGGCCGCAATGCCCGGTCGGTCTGAACACCTTAGTTATACCACGCAAAGCAGCTGCGGACTCCACCCAACAGCAACCGTATGTTTATTTGAAGTGCGGACACGTACAAGGCCACCATGATTGGGGTCAGGAAAAAGACAAAGCCACGAGAAGATGTCCGATGTGTTTAGTAGCTGGTTCGGTAGTCAAACTTTCTATGGGGATAGAGCCCGCATTTTACGTTGATTGTGGCCCACCTACTTACGCATTTAGACCCTGTGGACATATGGCTACGGAGAAAACTGTTAAGTCAGTAACACTTGCGCCTTGCCAGTTGCCTAATCAGATCAGGATATTCTTTTGGATTCGTCACCCCTTAGTTTTTCTTTCTTTTATTGCAGATATTGGGAAAAAGTAGCGATACCACATGGTACAAATGGTTATATTGCAATTTGCCCGTTTTGCGCGGTTCCGCTTGAAGGAACCCCAGGATACGTGAAACTCATTTTCCAAGATAATGTAGATTAAGGTTCGTTTACGTATGGTCGTGAGTATGTGTAGAAACCATTAACTTCTTATAAAGTGCAAGAATTATTAAAATTAATAAAATGTAAATAATCTTAATACAAGTATATAAACAAACTTCTGTTTCTCTTCCTCGATATGAATTTAAGAAAAATTTTCTATGTACAAATAGCTCCACACGGTAATTATTAAGTAAATGGCTCTTGAAATAAACATCCCTTCTTATACAGTATTATTCATATATATGTATATATATATATATACGCATATACGTGTGTGTGTATATATATATATGTATGTTACTCTTTCAATGTACCGTCGAATTAGTAGTTTAAGTTAAAAATGTACATTTCCAAAAAAAGCAAGTTTATTTTATACCTTTATAAAAATCTGCCTTCTTTTTGTAAACTAGTAAGAAAAGCATTGTTATCGTTATTTGTATTTATTTTCTAATTATTCATATCAGTTTCGTACCTATTAATTTTTAAATAAAACAATTTCTCCATTCAAAGACTTGCTCCTTTACGGTTTTTCTTTTTTAATTATGTATAACTAATACATATTTGCATAATAATATGGTTTTAACAAAAATTACTTAATTAAAGGTATATAATCATCGATCGTATTTTCATTTTTATGCTCATAGATAATAATCGTATAGGTAATCATATTATAAATACGCAACACCTCGAAATATGTAGAATTAGATATGAATCTATTCGTATGTACACGAAATAGTAACTAGATTTAAAAGCATATTGTATCAAGATCAAATAGAATAAGAAAATCAGTGTACTAACACGTCTAGTAAAATCTAGTAAATTGATCTTGTTCTTACGTTGATACGAATGTGCTTAGCTTTAGATACAATTATTACGAAAGATTGGTGTTCTCTCTCTCTCTCTCTCTCTCTTTCTCTTTCTCTTTCTCTCTCTCTCTGTCTCTTTC